TGAATATGGCAGCTGAGGGGACATGTTACCCTGGGGCCCACATCTCCATTTGGGGGTCTGGCTAGACCAGGCCGTCCCTGCCCTTTCCATTCTCTGGGCCCACTTCATACCAGAGACCCTCTCATGAGCCGTCTCCCCTCTGCCCCCAACTCCTCACTGCTCGGGGCTCAAGCTGTGGGACAGGCAGGAACGAAGGTGTCAGCTCCATGGCCACAGCCTGAGAACCACTGGCTCAGCCAGCAAGGAGCCCTCCAGGGCTAGAGACAGAGGCCAGGGCCCGGCCTGGGGATCCATGGGGAGGGAGGGAGGAACGGGGGAACCCAGACTGGGGTTTGGTGCCCGGGAACTGCTCTGTGCAGTGGCTTGGGCTCTGGGTGTTTCCATCCCCAGGATGGTACCTTGTGTGGCTGCCCCGGTGACTGTATCACAGTGCACGTCCATCGTCTCCTCGTGAGCTCTCAGCGTGATGATCTCACTGTCCCGGCTGCAGTTCCCTGTGACGAGCCGTGTCTGGACAGCTGCAGGGGGGGTGGGGATGAGGAATAAGAGCCCCTTGCTATGAAACCACTTCCCTGGGAATCTGTCCATTCTGGGCCAGATCCACCCCCCTCCCACTCCACTTGGAGCTGGGGGGGGCTTCAGGGCTCTTCTGCACTGTGGGAGGGGGAAGTTTGGAGCCCCCCCCCCCGTGAGTTCCACTGATCACCCCCCATATTCCCTCCCCCCATTCTGGCTCTGTCTCCCTGGGGATGCTGCGTCCCCAGCAGGCGGAATAGCTGGGGTGGGGGGAGGCACCTGGCTCAGCGTGGCAGCCCCTAGTGCTGGAATGCCAAATATTACATTTAAACCCTTCTCGGCCATTGCTGTTGCTCCTGGGGGCACTGGCGGGGCTGGGTTATATTTCCTGGTGCAGGGGCAGTGCTGGTCTGTGTCTGTACTGAACACAGGCTCCCATCCACAATGGTATATAGGCTCTAACTTCCAGTGGATTTGGGGCACAGTGTAGAACCCCTTTTCTCATGTCAGCCAGCAGGTGGCTCTAAAAGCCACACATTCCCCTCACCCATAGACTCTGTCGTCACATTCTGGGTTGTCCTCTCCGGAGACCGGAGCGCAGTGGCCAGCGTGGCCAGTTCCACGCTCTGCAGCAGGACCGTCACGGCTGACCCCACCTCCCACTTGTCTCCGCCATCCCAGAGGGAGGTGCTGTTCAGGATGGCGTTGAAACTGAGAGTCACGTTCTGGAGACAGGAAAGGAAAAGCCCTGGGAGCGAGGAGTCCGGAGGTTCAGATGCCAAGTCCCGCGTGTTTCCAGGGGGCATCAGGCATCACAGCCTCTCCCAGTTGAGGGGGCTGCAGTGCTCTCAGAGTGGGAGCCCTTTACAAAGGGGGTCCTCTGAGGCTGAACCGGGGCCCCACTGGCACCTGAAGCCAACTGGGGCTAGAACCCTTGTCCTTCCTTCTTCGCTCCCACTCCCCTGTCCCTCCGTTACAGATGCCAGGGAACAACATTGTCACAAGCCCACGGCTTCCTAGGCTGTCTCTATGCTGCATCCGGCAGCTGCTCAGAAATGTCTGGCAGGGCAGGGATAGAGCCCAGATTCTGCTGCGTGAAACACTCAAGTCACTGACAAATGAGCTGAGGGAGAATCCCCATTAACTGTCAGCAGTATAGCACCTCTGATGAACAACAGTTCTGAACACTAGAGGGTGCGTGTGGGTGGAGAAACACAAACATGAACTCACACCACTAGAGGGCGTGTGCACGCAGACAGAAAAACACCACTAGAGGGTGCATCCCCCCCTCCCGCGAGAAGTGGAGGGCACAGATCTTTTCTGAAAAACATCTACATGCCTCCCTCCCTCCCCCCGCCCCCAGTGAGACTCCTAACCCGGTACAGCACCACACAGGGCTCTGGGGCACACACAGGGGCACTAGTCTGCAGGGCACATTCAAGCGGCGGAGCCTCTCACCTCCAGTGATAACTCCGTATTCCCATCTCCGGATGTGGACATCAAAATGTCTAAGGTCGAATTAAAGAAAGAGCAAAAACTGCTGCTTCTGCCGCTCCGTTTTCCCTGCAGAGAGACCCAGGGCAGAGGGTGAGTTCTACAGGCGCTGAAGGGCGACCGACATTGGTGTTTGCCTTATGCAGGGGCTGGATCCTGACACCCCTCATTGAGTGACTAAAGCTTTTATACCAGACGTGTGCAGGACATGTTCGATGGTGCTGTTGCCACAGCGCGAGGTTCATGTGGCGAAAAGGGAACAGTTTCTAGTAACAGCTGGAATACATCACGGCTTGGGACTAAGCCCCTTTTTGTTCACGTCGGTGCTGGAGGCATTGACAGAAAACAGCCAGAGAGTGGCCCCTGGCACATGCCTTTTGCAGATGACGTACTGCTCGTGGGGGAGAGGAAAGAGGAAGTGAAGGAAGATGCAGGGAGACATGGAGGTGCATATTGGAAAGAAACGGCATGAAAATCAGCAGAAGAAATCAGAGTATATGGTCTGTAGATTCAATGCTCTCCTCAGGAAGACAATGGGCGTGTAAGTCTGGGGCCAGCCACTAGCAAAGCTACAGAAGGTTCGATATCAATTTGCAAACCCCTAGAAGATAATAAGGTGATCAGTAACAGTCAGCATGGATTTGTCAAGAACAAATCCTGTCAAATCAACCTGATAGCTTTCTTTGGCAGGGTAACAAGCCTTGTGGATGGGGAGCAGGGGAGAAGTGGTAGACGTGGTATATCTTGATGTTAGTAAGGTTTTTGACACTCATGTGAGCTCATAAACAAACTAGGGAAATACAACCTATATGGAGCCACTTTAAGGTGGGTGCATAACTAGTTGGAAAACCCTTCCCAGAGAGTAGTTATCAGTGGTTCACAGTCAAGCTGAAAGGGCATAATGAGTGGGGTCCTGCAGGGATCAGATCTGGGTCTGTTCAATATCTTCATCAATGATTTAGATAATGGCATAGAGAGGACACTTATAAAGTGAGCAGATGATACCAAGCTGGGAGGGTTTGCAAGTGCTTTGGAGGATAAGATTAAAATTCAAAATGATCTGGACAAACTGGAGAAATGGCCTAAAGGATGAAATTCAAGAAGGACAAATGCAAAGATCTCCATTTAGGAAGGAGCTATCAGTTGCACACATACAAACTGGGAAATGACTGCCTAGGAAGGAGTACTGCGGAAAGGGATCTATGGGTCATAGTGGACCACAAGCTAAATATGAGTCCACAGCGTAATGCTGTTGCAAAAAAAAGCAAACCTCATTCTGGGACATATTAGCAGGAGTGTTGTAAGCAAGACACGAGAAGTAATTCTTCTGCTCTACTATAAGGATGAGGAGGATCGAGTCCCAGCGATGAAAGGAACAAACACAGAATTGCCCTGAACTTGGATGGGGTTTACAGGGGTCACCGTAATACCAACAGCAAAGGTTTGTTTCTGGGAATTTTCATGTTGGTGGTACAAGATACAGGGCAAAATTCCCAACAAATGAATGATGGCTTCGAACGTACCTGCAGAGAGAAATTCCTGCACGTCTCTTTGATTCCCTTGAACTGAGCTCTGGAGTTAATGCTGGGGGCTTGGAGCGATGGGAAGAGAGGAGCAGACGTTAGAGCTTTCATATCAGATTTTCATATCAACTCACTCCTGCCTGGGGGAAAATCCCCTTCTCTTCCCCACCCCGATGGCTGCTCTCTCCACATGCCAGTCCTGCGCTGCCAATAGTTTAACATGTGGCTGCTACAAAACTTCCTCCCCGTCTCATTCGGTCTCTCTCCCCTTCATTTACACTACGCTTTGCCTGTCCCTCCTGCTCCCATCTCCGAGACTTCTTGATGTGTTTCCATCTACTCTGCAGAGAGACCGGCTGGGTACAGACACCTCTGCCCGCTGGGGAGAACCCACCTTTTCACATGCCTTAGCCCCACTGCACTGCTGCCCCGGAGCCACCTGAGGTAAGCACCACCTGAGCCCCCTCTGGCACCCAAACTCCCTCCCAGAGCCTGTATCCCGCACCCCTCCTGTACTCCAACCCCCTGACCCAGCCCTGAGCCCCCTTCCGGAGCCCACACCCCCTCCCAGAGCCTGCACTCCATACCCCCACCCCAGCCCCCTTCCCAGGCTCAGCATGGAGTCTGCACCCCTCCCACACCCCAACCCCCTTCCTCAGCCTTGGGGAAGTGAGTGAGGGTGGGAGAGACCGAGCTATGGAGGGAGATGTAGTGGGTGAGGTGGGTCCTCGAAGAAAGGGCAGGACAAGGGTGTTTAAGTTTGTGTGATAGACCATTGGCAACCCTAGTGAAGACACCCCTGGAAGCCCTGCTCACCCACTCCCTGGCCTGGCTCAGATCAGTCTCACCCCGGCGTGGCACCTGCTCCGCTCCCCGAGCCAGACCTGGGCACGCTGGTGACTGTGGCTCAGAGACAACCGGAAACACCCCAGTGGACGGACAGGCTGGGCTGGTGGGAGGTGAGAGCCTTGAGGCTGAGCCCCAGCTAGGGTTGAGACCCAGAGGGACCCCGTCCATGGGGGGCAGGCGCACTGTCCCGAACCAGTTCCCAGCTCGCTGCCCCCTTGCACAAGACCTCTGCCTGTGTAACCCCAGACCCTGCTCAACCCCCCAGGTGGCCCCTTGTAATCAGGCACGGACTCACCCCTGTGGCACCTCCTGCTGGTCATCTCAGCAATTAGCTCACCCAACATCCAGAGTGCCCTCTGCAGGCCAGGTGTCCCAGCTGTCATTGACCCCCCCCCCCCCCCCACTGTCCCTCCCAGACCCCAGTGCCCTTGGCTTGGGTGCTGCCCCCCTGGCAGTACCCCACTCTCTTTCTGGGTCTCCCCATCCCAATATCACCTCAGTTGTGGCTACTGCCAGTCACCATCCAGCCCCCACGCCCTGGGGCAGACTGCAGTCTGTCAGCCAATCATCACAGGCAACAAGGGGTTTGGACTGGCTGCCTTTACCCACTCTCAGGTTGCCCCTCTGCAACCCCAATACCTATATGGGCCTAGGACCAGGCCCTGCAGCCTGGGGAGTTGCTGGCCTAGGGCTTCCCAGCCCCCAAGGCCGTTCCCCAGCCCTGCCTCACTCTAGGTCCCCAGGTGAGCTCCCTGCAGCCAGGCCTGTCTCTCTCTCCAGCCAGAAAGAGACTCCTCAACTTCTGGCTGTCCTGGCCTTCTTATCAGGCTGAGTGGCTCAGTTTGGGGCATGGCCCCAGCTGCAGCCACTTCCCCAATCAGCCGGGATTTTGCTCCTTTTTACAGTCCCAGCCCTCTGCAGGGCTTTTCCAACCCCTTCCGGGCTGGAGCGGGTATTCACCCTGCTACACCCCTCCATGCCCGCAGCGGCAGGACCCACCTTGGCACAGGGTCGTGTTCCTGTTGGAGGGGATGTAGCCGGCCCGGCACTCACACCGGTAGTTCCCATTGGTGTTGATACACATGGCGTTGGGGCCGCAGATATCTGGGGATATCTGGCACTCGTCGATGTCTGAGAGGGGAAAGCGGAGGGGGTGTGTGTCACACACAGCATGGCTGGGGGCTCAGTGGGGGAGAATGACCATGAAGGCACCCCCCACCGATTGCAGGGGGCGTAGTCTGTTGGTCGGTCTCTCTGTTCCATGTACACCCCCCCCGTTTTATTGTCCTTTCTTCCCTTCTATTTGCAGGGCCCCAATCCCTGCGGTGCAACCCCTCCCCCACCCCGAGACCAGGGGGCCCAACCTTTTCCAGACCAGGACCCTGCGATCCCCTTCCTGTACCAGCCCTGACAGAGCAGGGTTAAGGCGGGGGCCCGATCAGCCAGTTAAGCTGCAAAGGGGAAGTGACTTAGGCTGTGTGCAGGGCGCTAGCTAGAAGGAAGCTCGCCTGCGAGGGGACAGGTGGGGCTTCTATACAGCCCGAGGGCTGGGCCCAGTGTTGGGGGCCTGAGGCGGGGGGGGGGCTAGGGGCCCCGGAGGAAGGGTTTCATTAGCAGGCAGAGGAGAGAGGGGTCTGACTTTGAAAGGCTCCCCCAGAATGGGGATCACAGCGGGACCTGGCTAGACGGCCGAGACACGGGGCAGCCGCGACTCCGGGAGCTGCAATGGTGGAAGAGAAGAAAGGAGGTGCTGAACTGGAGCTAGTCGCCAGAAGGGGGCGCCACGCTCAGCGTTACAGACCCCAGCCCGATGGGTCCTCTCCCCGTTCATCCAGCACCGCCCCTCCCATGGAGTACTAGGAGAAGGGTGGGTGGGCAGAGGGGGATACACGGGGGATGTCAGAGCTCCATGGTGCAGCAGGGTCACTCACCCCGTGCAGGGAGCGGGGTTTTCTACCTAGGGACCCGGCTTGTGCGGGCTGTGACGCACTCATTCCGGCCAGCTAAGCTCTCCCCGATATTTATCCATAATGCTTTTGCTTCTCACAGAAATCCTTGTGGCTAAAATCCCCTTCACCTGGACGTCAGCAAACATGTCAATCAGCGGGAGAGTCAAGAGCACTCACGGGTCCTTCCCTTGGGCCGTGTTCCAGCAGCTCTGTCTCAGACTCCCCTCTTCTCTCTTTCCAATGACAGCGTTTTGCTATTTCCCGCTACACCCCTTCCCCTCGGTCGTTATTTGCATACAGGCAGCACCCAGCGCGCTGCACACACACTGCCATAAAGAGCTTCTGGTCTAAATGGACAAGAGGTGGGAGAGAAAACTGAGGCAGGGAATTGCCCAAGGACACCCAGCAGTGACAGAGCTGGGACTAGAACCCAAGTCTCCTGAGTCTCCATCTCAGACCCAACCCACTAGACCTGTCTCTTTCAGCTTCTTTCCTTCAGAGAAGGCCAAGAATGTGTCTCCCCTCCCTCACCAGGCAAATTTTACCCTCTGCTCCCCCTCACTGAGAGGAGCTTTGTGTCTCCTGGCTCACGGCCGGGAGAGCATCAAGGCTGGAAAAAATCCCTTGTTCCTTTGGCAGGAAACTCAACTTTTCCTCCATTGTTAAACCTCTTGGAAGGCAACTGGCCTACGCCAGGCCTCTGAGGGGCTTGTATGTGCCAGGCTCTAGCGAAGGCCACTGGGCCATGGAACAAGAAGAGAGCAAGTTTGTCCTGCTCTAGTGGCTGGTTCCTGCGTTTGATTCCCGCTAATAACCCAAGCTGGTTCCTTTGTGATGCCAGCTCCTTCCCCAGCCTTAGCAGCTGTTTAGCTTAATGGGGTTCCAGAAACTAATGGGCTTTTTGAGCCCAAGCTGTATTACAGATTGATCCAACACAGAGTCCTCGGCTCCGTCTCAGCACAGTTTGCTTTGCATAGACCTGACCTGCCCCCACCTCAAAGTTCTGCTACGAAAGAGCATCTTGGGCTCTGATTGCAGTTGGAGGTTTGGGGGGATGCTGCAGCTTCTAATGACATCCCCAGTGCCCTACGCTCCTGCCTTGGTGGAACTAAGCAGCATGGCAAGAGACGTGGCGACCTTCAGTCTCCAGGCTCAGTTTGTAAGTCAGGCTGGGAGTCAGAACAGACACTTTGCCCGGGTGGGGGGCAGAGAAAGAGCGAGAACTCAGGGCAACCTGGTTAGTTTCCCCATCCAGGCATGCGGGTTAGCGTCAGAGATCCTGGGTCAGCTCAGTGGCCGTGCATTAACACCATCGCCAACGCCAAGCAATCAATAAAAGCCCCAAACCGTGAGCCAGGCTGCAAAAAAGTCACAAAATTGGTTTAAAAATCAAAAGATTTTTTTAAAAAATCCATTTTGGGGTTCGTTTTGTTTGACTCTGGTTTGGGAGCTGTCGGTCACCCCACCATAATGTTTGGCAGTTTTTCCTCTGCCATGTGGGCCACGCCCTAATTTTGATTTTAGCCAAAAGCGGAATCACGTGACTCTGGGCGGTGGGACTTTAAGGCAACACCATGCGTTAGCAACACTGCAGACAAGCCAGAAACATCATGCCTTTGTCACGACTGTTTCCAGCTCCTGTTGTACCTGTGCACATCTTAGACGGATCCTTTTGACTCTTCCCAAATCCCCAACTGCATTTACACATGTAACTCCCTGGCATGTTGATGCAGTTCCCGTGGGGCTCACAGATTGTGGTGTTTCGCTGGCACTCGTCAATGTCTGCAAGGAGAGAGAAAGCTCCAGGTCAGGCTGATCTAGGAGCTGTAGCTTGGGCACTGGGGTGACGCTGCTGGGGGATAATTCAGGCATCCGACATGCACCGTGCTCTGGGGAGACGGGGCTGGTTAGAGCCAGGAGTTCAGTTACTGGGTCAGCGACCGGGAGCGAGTTGGCTATTGTCCGGAATGAGCCGCTCCAGCTGGGAAGGGAAAAGCAGCCCAGGACACGCGCTGGCTGCTTGCTAAAGCTACCAAGCAGATCTGGCGATGCCCAGTGCTGCAATATCAGTGCAGACGGCAATGCCTGAATGAGCCGCCTGCCCCTGGAAGGGACAAATGGGGAGCTGCTTTGGAGGAAGGGGATAGAGAATAACATGAGGGCTAGTCTAATGCCTGGAGATCAGTCAATGGGGTGACCTCCTCTGCAACCCGTGAGCTGCCCTGGGCACCCCCTTGCACACAGGACAGTGCAGAACCAGAGGGGTTCAGAGACAGGCAATGAGAATGATCAGGGGCCTGGAAAAACCCTCAACAGAGAGAGATTGAAAAGACTGGGACTGGCACCTTAGAGTGAACGTAAGAGGGGACATGTTAAGAGTCTATAAATGACTGACGGGGATAGAGAAGGGAGATGGGGAGCTTCTGTTCTCCCCACCTCGTAACACGAGAGCAAGGGCCAGTCAGGGAAGTGAGAAGAGGGGAACATTCGAAACTGAGCCAAGGAAAGGCTGTTTCGCGCAATGTGCGATTAGCCTGTGGAACTCCCCAGCACAGGAGTCACTGAGGCCAAGAATTTAACAAGATTCCAGGAGCGACTGGACATTCCTACAGATGATGAGAACAGCCAGAGTGATCATAGTTAAAGGGCACAAAGGTTTGGGAAGAGAGAAAACCTCCTGCTGTGGGGCTTCAGCCCAGCTGAGTATTAGAGACCAGGAAGTGAGGGCAGATTATCCCCCAGCTGCCACTGTAGGGCTCTTCCACCGTCCTCTGCAGCGTCTGGCTCTGGCCCGTTGGAGCCGGGATACCAGGCTAGATGGGCCTCAGCTCTGATCCCGTCTGTGCTGTGGAAGTGCCAGCGTGACTTGTGTCTCAGCCTGGCCGGGGCCACCGTTTTGCCTCTTCAGAGGCTGAGGTGCTCCTGGGGCAGACTGAGCCCTGTAAGAACCGACCGGCTGCATCCTGCCAAGTGCTGCCTCCTCCGCCCCTCGACCCTGCGACACTCGCGGGTTCTCCTGACAGCACCAAGGTGGCTCCACGTTTCCAGAACCTGCTTTATTCCGGAAATGACGTACAATCGGGTTCCGCACCCAAAGGCTTCCAAAAGTCCATGCGGGATGGGAACGGAGCTTCCAGGACCGAGGCCGGGGTGCCCAGCACTGCAGCTATTCCCTGCCTCCCAGCACCCACGGGGGAGTATCGGGATGAGTCTGGGACACACTGTGCTGTGGCTATTCCCTGCCCACCAGGGCTGATAGGGGGCAGAGCGCACTGTGCTATTTCCATGGCCCAGACACGAGGCCTCTGCCCAGCTCAGGGGGACACTAACAGCCCAAATGCTGTGAGCTGGGGCCAGCGAGGGTCCCCTCCCCTCTCCCCAGCACATCTCTGCAGCACAAGGAGTTTGCTCCATGGGTCTGTTTCTAACCCCGAAGGTTTATTCCCTGTCCAAGTGCCGGGCATAGGGGTGAGCCCGGCCCCATGCTCTGCGGGAGCAGGCGAGGGTCACGTCTCTTCACAGCCTCGCTGACAGCAGCAGCCCCGGTGCAGCACCAGGCCTGGAATGAGCATTTGTGTGTGCGAGGGGAAGTCTCAGCGGGGGTGGGGGCAGGGGAGAGCTCACCCTGGCAGGTGTTCTCACTCGCGTGCATGAAGTTGGCTTTCCCAGAGCTGGGCTCGTAGCCATCGATGCAGGTGCAGTAGTAACTCCAAGCCACATTGGTGCAGTTTGCGTGGGCTCCGCAGTCTGCCGGGCTCGGGCCCTGACACTCGTCAATATCTGCAACACAAGAGGGGATGCTCTGTACAGTCCTGGCAGGGAGACGTTCCTGTATCACCCACCTGCAATGAGCTGGATGACGGGACCCAGGTGACCGGGCCCCTGGGAGCTTAACAATCACAGGCCTGAGTCTCAGCTATGCTCAGGTGACACTAGGCTGCTCTGGCAGTGGAACGGCCACTCAAGAATCCCGCACCCAGTAAACGAGGCTGCCCCAGCTCGTGTGGAGCTGTAGGGGTCCTGCCCCCACCCTGCTCCTAGCCCTTGATGTAGGGGCTGAGGCCGGGGTGCCCAGCACTGCAGCTATTCCCTGCCCCCCAGGGACCATGGGGGAGGATCGGGGTGCGGCTGGGGCACACTGGGCTGTGGCTATTCCCTGCCCACCAGGGCCCATATGGGGCAGAGCGCACTGAGCTATTTCCATGGCGCAGACACGAGACCTCTGCCCAGGCTCAGGGGGACACTAGCAACCCAAATGCTGTATGCTGGGGCCAGTGAGGGTCCCCTCCCCTCTCCCCAGCACATCACTGCAGCACAAGGAGTTTGCTCTGTGGGTCTGTTTATTCCCCATCCAAGTGCCAGGCACAGGGGTGAGGGAGGATCACGTCTCATCACAGCCTGGCTGACGGCCTCAGGCCACTGCCAAAGCTGGCAGTAGCCCCGGTGCAGCGCCAGGCCTGGAACGAGCATTTGTGTGTGCGAGGGGGGGGGGTCTCAGCAGGTGGGGCCAGGGGAGAGCTCACCCTGGCAGGTGTTCTCACTCGCGTTCATGAACTTGGCTTTCCCAGAGCTGGGCTCGTAGCCAGGGATGCAGGTGCAGTAGTAACTCCCAGCCACGTCAATGCAGTTTGCGTTGCGTCCGCAGTATGGCGGGCTCGGCCCCAGACACTCGTTAATATCTGTAATGCGAGAGGGGACGCTCTGTATAGTCCTGGCAGGGAGACGTTCTCCGCATCACCCCCTCAACCCCACACACTGAGCTGGGTGATGGGACCCAGGCGACCGGGGCCCTGACCAGTTAGTGATTAAGGGCCTGATTCTCAGTTACCCATTTCTGCTGCTGGAAAGTCGGAAACAGTCCCACGAGCCTCCTGTCTCAGGTTCGGGGGGTTCATCCCCACAAACACCCAGATCCCACATGTGAGAGGAGGGGAGGAGACTCCCCCTGGGGCTCCAGGCTTTCTGTGTGTTGGGGCAGGGGGGTGAAAAGCTGCCTCTTCTCTGCCTCCTCCCTCCTCGGATCCCTGTGGGCTGGGGCGGGAGCATAGCCAGGACTGTCCCATTCTGCTCCTGTGGGGCCCCTCTGCCCCAGGACACCCAGGGGCGGATTAGGGCCCAGGCTGGGATTCAGATGGGTCAGTGTGATGGGCCCCCCCCACCCTGTGCCCAATCCACAGAGCCCAACGCTCCTGGCTCCTGCTGCAGCCGCTCCTGCTGCTCACTCTGGAGCCCCCGGTTCGATCCCCAGGAGGGCGGCGCTCACCCGTGCTGCTGCCCCCCTCATTCCCCAGCCGGGATGAGCCCCCTCAACAGGCCCTGCAGTCAGTGGAGTTGGCTGCTCCGGCACTTAATGCCCTGCTCTGTCCCAGCCCCCCCAGGACAATGTGGGAGCCCCGTTACCGTCACAGATCTCCGTTGGGTCGGTGAAGAAGACGGGGTGATTCCCACTTGTCTGGTATCCATCCAGGCAGGTGCAGTGGGTGTTGTTCACACACTTGGCGTTTTCTGGGCATAGCAGATGGTTGTTGCAGTCCTCAGTGGTATCTGCAGGGGCGGGAAGAGCTAGGCAGGGTCAGGCAGTGCAGAGCGGCTCCCCCCCTTCCCCCACGCACAGTGTGATCGACTCCTTTCACACGCCCCATTTGCTGATTTTCGTCCCTGGGCGCCTGGCAAACACTCCGACGCCATCCACCGCCTGGCAACAAGCTGCCCTCGGCTGCACAGGGGCCTTGGCTCCCCAAGGAGCCCCCGGCACAGACAGGCAGAGCCGCCGGAGCCGGGCATCAGATCCAGTGAAACATTTTCGATCTCACCCAATTTTTCTCCTTTTTGTTGCTGTCGTCGTTATTTTCATTAGCGTCAATTTCAAACCCAAACCTCGCTTCCAACCGGAAAATGGGAATTGTTCGTTTTAAAAATTATTTCATCTGCTGCCCCCTCCCCCCGCCCACGCAATTTTTTCCCAAGTAAAACCAAACATTCCTCTGAACCGAATCGGCATTTTCTGGCAAAAAATGGGTCATTGGGAAGT